GAAAACGACGGCGGCAACCGGGGTGGTTGTGTCACGGCCGGTGACATGCGTGACCGGAAACGCAAAGAAGCTTGAAGAAGTCCGTGCAATCTTGGGCCAAACCGTTCCTTTCCAATCTCTCAAACTTGACCGTACAATCTCTCTCTCTATATACATATCCCTGTCTCCCTGTGGAAAATATAAAATTTATGCTTCTGGGTTTGATTGTTGTTGGCGTTTACAGTACCCGAGCTGCAAGGAGAACCTGAAGAAATCTCTAAAGAGAAAGCTCGTTTAGCTGCCGTAGAGGTACAACATGTACCATCTCTGTGTGTGCATTTTATTTTTTGTTATGTGTAAATAAATATATAATGTTTGTATTTCTATTGGAAATTGAAGGTGAAAGGACCTGTTTTGGTGGAGGATACTTGTCTTTGCTCCAATGCCTTAAAGGGTCTTCCAGGTACTAATGATCTTGTTTGTTTGATAACTTGTTCGTATTTATTCATTTTGTATGATTTTTTTTTCCAGTTTATGATTTTTTGTCCATTTGTTTGCAGGGCCATACATGTAAGTTGTGATATTTTTTTCTTCTATTATCAAGGTAAAGTTTCGTTCTTTTAATAGGCCTTCTAATTATGAATTACATATCGGATTGCATTTCTTTTCTTGTCGACTTTCATAAATCTCGATCAGAGGAGTTTTAGAATGATTTTTTATGGGAGGGAAAATAGGATCTAGGGAAATTCCAACTTGATGAAAGAAGGCCAAACATGATGCCCAAATCATACTCCCGTGTTAAGCATGGATTATCACCATGACTGTATTCAGAACACTTCACCAGAGCCATGAACCATCCCATCTTTCCAATATTAGAAGGAATGTGATGTTGAAAAGAAAATACAGTCGTGAGGAATATTTCATTGGTTAACTGTTCAGGATTAAGATTTCTTGGATCTTCTCAAGTGCCTGAATGAAGCTCTCAGTTACCTTTTCTTCTCAAAAGATGTTCTGCGATTTATCCATCATAATAACATGCAACTAGGCCGAGGTAACAGTGTTGACATGATAAGCGACTCTGTCAACAGATATAACTCGTCTCTTCACCTGCTTAGAATGTTCATGAACACAAAGGTTCCATCTTGTCATTTTATATACAATTCTAACCTTTTTCTGTTCATTGAGGTAGAATAGAAAGAACTGCGGGGGTCGTTGTTTCCTAATACTGCATTGCCCTTGCCACATTAACTCCTCCAGAATATCTAAATGACATAGGAGATAAAGGTATTTGATGCTCATCTTGCCTTATGCTTTTTGCACACCTCATCTTTCATTTTTTTATCCTTTTGTGCCTGATGACTTAGAAGATCTTGCATGATTCTACCTCTTCCCTTCTTTTTTTCTTCTTTTCAAAGGAAGATTAATGAGGTCTACCATTTTTGTTTGTATTTCTTTGTAATGATATTGGCAAGGTTCCTATCTCCTCTATTTCTTTGAAAATTAAAAATTATTAATTTTATCAAGCTCAACCTCAACTTTTAAAAGAGTTGACAGTTCAGTATCATCAGACAATAAAGCTTTCATCTAGTAGTTTTTTGGTATTATTTTCAAGAATTTAGTTTTTGTCTGCCATCATCTAACAAGATTATCAATTCACGCAGCAAGTGGTTTCTGCAAAAGATTGGTCATGAAGGTTTTTCTTTTCATAGTCTTTTGTTCCTATCGTTTTTATGTTGTCATTTTTGTTGCTTTCTTGTACAAAACACCTTATGTCTTTTCTCCTTTCCTAGGTCTGAACAACTTGCTGATGGCATATGAGGACAAATCAGCCTATGCTTTATGTGCATTTTCTTTTGCTCTTGGGCCTGATGCTGAACCGATTACATATCTTGGAAAAACTCTGGTACATTTTCAAAACTTACAAGAATGTAACAAATATTCCTACCCCGAGTCTCTTTTCTTTTAAGATTTAATGCATCTATAATGCAAATAACTGTTACTGAATCTTTTATGCAAAATAATTTCTAGCCTATGTTATTTAGGATGCCACTGTGCCATTTTATTTGAAGGGAATTACGACCGAACTTTGACTACGATCTTTCTCTTAGCAGTCACTTATCCTATGAATTTTATGTTGTGTCAGTGATGCGTGTAGGAACTGTCTATTAAAAATGAATAAGACAACTTTGTTGGTGGCTATTTCAAGAAAAGGAGCACACACATGCTGCCCTGACCCTTTTGTTTCATATAATTTCCTGGTCAGTTAATCAAAATTTTCAAATATCAAAACAGATACTTCTGGCTCCACCTTTTCCATAACACTTGAAAAATGTTACGAAGAGTTGAAGGATTAATTGTATTGGGAACATGCATCTAGATTACTTATATTTACTCCAATTACGTTTGCTGTTGAGTTTTTTTTCCCCCTTTTCTTTTCATTTTTTTCTCACTTAGTCAAGGCCTACATCCCATTCTTAGTCATCTGAATGCACACTTAGTCAAGGCCTACATCCCATTCTTTTTTTTATTTTATTTACGTGAGGTGTCTTTCCTGGTCAGTTAATCAAAATTTTCAAATATCAAAACAGATACTTCTGGCTCCACCTTTTCCATAACACTTGAAAAATGTTACGAAGAGTTGAAGGATTAATTGTATTGGGAACATGCATCTAGATTACTTATATTTACTCCAATTACGTTTGCTGTTGAGTTTTTTTTCCCCCTTTTCTTTTCATTTTTTTCTCACTTAGTCAAGGCCTACATCCCATTCTTAGTCATCTGAATGGATGATAATCTTGCTGAAGTTCTTGGTTGAACAATGCAATAGTCTATCATAAGAATAAACAAATCATGGAAGAAGCTGCATGATGCTTTCTATTTAAATCCAGACAAATAGATGACTAAGGAAAATTCCATAAAATAGGATTTAGGAGTCGTTGACTCATTGCTTTGTCCTTTCCTGTCAAGATTATTAAACTCAAATCAGGAAAATGATTTTCTTCTGTATGCTTAAGTTGAGAAATCATAATTATTTTAATGAACCAAAAATATATAATTTCAGATGCAGCTATTTCTCAGGAAAACTGACAAAGACTAGTTAAAAGTTTAAAATTAACAACTTACAATCCGTGGCTTTATTTGAGGGGAAGATAGTTGCAGCGAGGGGACCTAATGATTTTGGATGGGATCCAATCTTTCAACCTGATGGCTACGAGCAAACGTAATTTTCCGCTTTCATTCCTGCTGTTTTGGCCCAGTCTTGCTTAATAATTGAACCAAGAGGGAACTAGAGTATATTAATTTTCTTCTTTTACAGTTATGCAGAGATGCCAAAGGATGAAAAGAAGATTTATCACCGTTCCAGGGCTCTTGATCTGGTTAAATCCCACTTTGCTGAAGCTGGATACATTTTCGAGACAAATGACTCTAAAAAGAGTGAGCTATAGTAGATTTTTGGCAGTTAAAAAAGATTTACTTGTGCGCAGGATCCACACTTGCTTATTTCCATGATTTTCTTATGTCGGGAAAAAAGGACGGGGAATAGGGAACGGTTCTTTTAGAGGTGGGGTCATGAAGAAGGATTTCAGACAACTGTACTACTATTCTGCTGAGTAGAAAATGTCAAAGTATCTTTTTCACATATATGAATGATTTCCCTCTGAACTGAGGTGGAAAGGTAAATGTTAAAACCTTAATTGAAAAGCGAAATTTGACCTCTGACTCTTGGATGATCATCTGTTTTACCAGGAAAGGATGCTCTGGTTAATAGTTAATATGAATCTTTTGATATCTCATTGCAAGTGTGCTGATTATGTTATTGTATGTTTGTTACCTTTTAATTATGATCAATGTTTTTGATAAGGCTGGTCGGGTCAACCGAGGCACTAGAAACCTGGTCTGGTTGATTGGATCTTACCAGGTTAATATCTTGTTTGCTGTACCAGTGTTTTAAGACCCTGGATGAGTTCAGCTTGACATTGAATTGTTAGCGCTAGCGTTTGAACTCTTTAGCTTTCGCCTCTTTAAGCAGAGATTCTCAATGTGAGCAGATATCACCTGCCTAGCGGCTTGTACCAATTGTTGCAAAAACAGGTGTTAAAACTTCCTTTCCTTGAACCATATGCCACTTTTTTCTGCCCAGACAAGTCAGGCACCATATGTAGGTGAAATCCGGAGTTTTTGATCCTTCTATGTCTGCTTAAAAAAACAAAGGGCACAAACAACATATCCATTGCACACATTTCGCTACTTCATGTGAATGTTCCATCATAAATAGAAGTAGTCTATTATAATGTTATGATAGCAATTATAAGTCTATTTTTATGTCTATGAAAAATGTGAAACAGTTTTGGTTCAATTGCTGGGCACTTCTCTGTGACAAGCAGCATTCAATCCCACTATTCTTACCCTACGCGTCCAAGTTGTAGCCATCAATCATCTTTTTCATAATAGAGAAGTTCGCCTGCCTCAACTCTTGGGATTTCTTTTAGATTTTGTGGATGACGATCATGACAATTGACAAATAAAATCTTCCCCACAATCATAAACGGGCAAATTGCTATCCTTTCTGGTATTCATCTCCTATATTTGCTGTCCTAAGATTCTGAACTTACGAGAATTTTACGATTCCCAAGAATAATGAACAAGCAGAAAGATGCCCCATACAATTCTGTTCATGATTTCTTTGGTAGAATCCATTCGACACCTAGAAAACTTCCTATAAGGACTAGTTTGTGTTTCCAACATTTCAACAGTTTTGTCATTTTCCAGTTTGTCCATAACATTTCATTGTATTTTGAAAGGAATTCACCAAAATAGTGGAATCTGTACGTTTTAGTGTGAAAATAATAAAGCCATACGGGGAATTAATGAAGCAGGGCAACGAACGATGCTAAATGTAAATGGCTAACTCTGGAGAAGGGTCTGAGATGACAGCGCTAGCCAACGTTCACATGAAAACCATGTATTGTTGTTACATGCACAACTTGGCTAAAAAATTAAATTGGCCCCATTTCTTACAGGTACAGAACTTCTCACATGCCATATGGGACCCTGACTCACAGCAAATCCATGCGTTTTTATCATCTTTCCATGTGAATCATACCTGTTAACCACCTCTCCTTCGGGTTATCCTCTTCCTTCTGTAGCCATCGGCTAAGAAGCATCACATGGTTAGGGACTTGTGCATAAATCAACAGTTCCATTATTGCCCAAAAACCATGGTGGTGCTGATGCTTGTGAACCACATGGAAGGGGACAGTTCACCACGCCATTGTGAGTGGAGGGGCGTCAAATGACCAGTCACTGTTTCTTGAAAATGATTTACAAGGGGTTTAATTAGTTGTATTGAGAAAATCTATATGCTCTGAAATTCTACCCAAAGCAGCGAGGCAGAATGTGCCGTTCTGGTGGTGGTTCAACCTTAAAGTTCCGCTTATTCAATCTAACATTTGGAAGTAAGGAAATTAATAGCATTTACATTACGGTTTCAAGCTCATGAGTGATCTTATCATAGATGCTCTGTTGATTTAGATTCGAGATATATTTACTGTGTAAGAAGTCATCGCTCCTCAAGGCCCTGGCCAGCAATGAATCACAAGGGATTCCATTAGACTGGTGATGATGTAAGTTATTAGCTGGTTAAGAGCTTTATATCATGTGTAGGCAGCTGGTGCTCACATGATAAAATCATTTCTACCATAGAAAGAACAAGGGATCATTTGTAAATTGCATAAGAAATAGTAAAGATACGCAAAGCTTCCATTGCCTAAGAAAAGGCAGAAAAAAGGTAAGAGGTAAAGAACTTCATTGCTATTTCTTTGCACTCTGTAACAAAGTTTTTCCATCGACTCAGATTTGAAATCCATGGTACTGCTTGCTTGTATCACTAGACAGACAAAATTAAAAAGAAAGAAAAAAAAAAGAAAGAAAGAAAAATCACAAATCATTCAAATCCTATAGACTCAAAAGCCTAGACATTATGTGGAGATCGACCAAGACTGACACTGTAGATATAGATGCATGACTGGTAGCTAGAAGTAAAGGAGATGTGAAACTGGAAAGGGCAAAAGAAATGGAGGAGCAAAAGAAATGGAAGGAAAGAGGTGAAAGAAATAAAATGAACAACGCTTCTGCGCCTGCTCTTCTGGATAATGGTATGAGGTATTGGTTTTCATCTGAAGCAGGCCGAGGTTGAGAAATAACAGAGACAAACTGGAATGAAGATGGTTTATGTATGACATGTGTAAAAATTGTACACTTGCCAATATATGTGATGAATGCAGATAGATATGACAGAAACAATGGCTGAGACACAAGTAACAGGCAGAAGTAGCAGGACTATAAAGTTGTAAGAAAAAATTGAAGGAAAAAAAAGAGAGAGAAAACCAAGTGGCCTCTTTTTGACCACTTAAATTTGACTGAAAAGACTAGCACTGATGGCCCCTGCGGCAGCCAAGAACACCGGAATTAGCCGTCATTGCTCCGACCATGGAAGAAGACTTGGCACCCAAGCTTGAAGCGCGAGCATAGCTAGCTGAAGCTCCAGCCCCGGATGGAGTGAAGTAAGCTCCATTCGCCAACAGGTCTCCTTCTGACCTCCAATTCCAGTTTTTCCATTTGCCTGGAGCTGTATCCACCCTCTTTGTCACCTGGTCAAAGCAATGAATCATCAATAACCAGCCTATGCAAGGTGCATTTCACTGCAAACATAAAAGGAAGGAGACAGAGAATGAGAAGAGTTAACTAGTTGTATAATACCTCCTTTGCAAAAGGATTGGCTGGAGCATTATATCTGTTGCCCTGGCTGTTGATGGTGGGTTCTGCACTGCCACCGATGGCATACATTTCCCAGTGAGTGTAGTCATTGTTTACCACATGGAAGTACCCATGTCTACACCTGTATAATTCATGAATTCAAGCAAAAGATGGTTTAATTTCATGAATTAGGCAATTTTCTCCCTTGGTCAAGTTAAAGAAACTATTTCTATATAATCACTATTGGTCTATTATTGGGGTATAATTCCCGTCATGTTAGTTTTACAGGGCAAGTTTATAGTAATAAAGAGGTAATTTCGGGGAGCCAAAGTCCTTTCAATAAGAAAGATATAATTAAATGTTACCTTGGCATTCTCTGGATCAGTCCTTCTCCAAAATGGTTGTACGCAATGGTTACTTGCATTTGCTTGTCTCTGGTATACGAGTCACTGTGGCCCAGGAGCATTACCTGTGATAAATGGCATGCAAAACAATATTAGCTTCCATCAACAAGAAAAATAAGTAACATTGAGAGTACCAAAAGGATCAGCGAGCTAACCTCATTATGGTGGGTGAAGTGATTGTTGGAGACGGTGATGGCAGTAGAACCCATAACAGCATCAACCAGGCCATCAGCGCAGTTAGAAAGGGAATTGTGATCGACCCAAATATGACTTGATCCAAAAATAGAGATGGCATCACCATCAGCCATTGTCCTCCATCCGTAATGAGATGGCGAGCTACGCACCATAGCATTGCCAGTGGGCTTGCAGTCATGAATATGGAGACCATGAATGATCACATTGGTAACAAATTGGATAGTGATGCACCCACCATTAGCAATGTGAACATTGACCCCACGGCCATCTATGGTCTTAAAGCTGTTCATGATAAGTTCCTGCTTCAATTGAATCACCATGTCCCTTTTGAACACGATCCATAGAGGAGCGTCCTGGATCACGGCATGGCGCAAAGTTCCAGGCCTTGGGTTTACAGGGTCATGGTCACTAGAATCAGTAACAACATAGAAGCGACCATCACGGCCACCAATGGCGTTTCTGCCAAAACCAATGCCACAGTCAGCAAGGCGCTTGCGGTTCTTGTGCCAGTTGGGGTCACAACGCCAGCAATCATCAATAGGATTGCCTGTTCCACAAGAGAAGTAGCCTAACCTCCTCCTTTCAGTACTGTTGCGGATGTTCCTGCAATCTCAAATTCAATGGTCTATCAGTATCAACATTAATATCATGAATGCTATTCAACCCAAAAATAAAGCTCATCTTTGATAATTACAATCCCATTTTTGAACTTCAACTCCGTTTCCCATTTCCAAAATGCTACACAATAATTTTCTAATTTTAATCATTAACATTTTAATTACTATTTTGCATCAGATAATTATTACCGATTTCATTTCAACACTAAAATCTGCGACTTTTGTGTCGGTGGAAAAAAGGCCACAGCTAACTCGGACGTATGATTAATGGCAACAGGAAACAAACAATTTGTCATATTGTGAGGACCATCAGGTCTTTTCAGTTTTAACGGATAGAATTATCTTGGCTTAGTGTACATGACATGTACGTTGTGTTTGTCCAGCTTCATACATGAATGAAGCTGTCACCTCAGATAGACAATGCGAATTAAGAACCCACATGCTCTCTGCAATCAACTCCATGAAATTTCACAAACCCATCTTCAGCTACTTGAAAAAACCCCAAAATATATTGATCTGCAGCTGAGATTTTAAAAGGCCTATCAACAGAATGGAAAAATGACAAAAAGTAGAAAATTGGGTCTCTCCCTTTATAAAAGCCATATTTTTTTATATATAATTTTATAAAATCCATACTGGGAGGTCACGATCAATTAAATCACAGCTACAAAAAAGCATCCGACTAACACATCATTCCATTGGCTAAATCAATGGTTAAATTATGTGAAAAGGTGTCTAAATCAGTCCCATGTTATGTAAAATACAGTGACCGATAGAGATATCAAGTAAAATACAGTGTTCATAAGAAATCAAAATCTGTACCTCTCAAGTATAATTTAATTTACATGAATAAAGAAAATAGTCAAAAGAATGATATTCTTGAAACACAGATCTCACTCATTCACTGCCCCTACTACAACAACTACAGTAGCTGGCAGGTAGTGGAGCGAAACAACGTGAAAAGGGTCAAAATATGAACAGCATATCAGATTTAGGAGAGGAACGTGCTGGGAGGCTGATTACACATATTCCCATTGTCCCTTTTATTAAAGTGCAAATCCCACAAGAAAGATTAAGGCATCAAGGGAAATTTCTTCTTTTTTTATTTTTTTTAAAAAACATTAACTGGTCTAGTGGTCGTAATTACGAGATTAGCATTTTCTAAATACCTACCATAAGCACCAAATCCTCGCTCTAGTAGTGAATTCAGTAGATTTCAAGTGCTAAGTCGGAATGTAATTAAAGGGCAATAGCAATGTTATTAATTAATCGCTCCTAAAACATTAACGAGAGGGTAGAGAAAGTGACATACATCTCAACCATTGAAACCACCTCATCAGGATCAGCAGCAACTGCTTTCTCGTTAAATGCATCAGCCTCTTCTTGAGACCTAAAACAACCACCAAAAATCAACAACCTTCAAGTATTACGTTAAATTAACCAAACCCCATTAAGGACTAGTGGAAAGGTGTGAATCCCAGGAAGGGAGTGGACATCATGTGGGACACACAACGAAAGTAATATGTACAGATAGGAGAGTGGAGTGTCTGCATTGCTCAAGGCGTCGGTCACTGACTGCTAAGTGACACCGTTAAAACGCGTTTCTCCAGGAAAGTAAAACCACAGGGTCGAGGCGACTCGAGGGCGATAACATGTTTTTATGACTAAACTACCCTTATTTTGTCCTCAAGTGAGCAGTGAAAACAAACATGGAATTCGGGAAAAAGTGTGAGGGTAATATTGGAAAGCAGGACTCTTGGAGTTTCTCGTTAATCTTAACCGAGGAATCCGAAGTTGGTAATAGTAGCAGCAAATAACAGAATAAACGATCCAGATCTAATGATCTCAACGGCCAAGATTCCTACCGTTACTTTGGATAAATAAGAGACATCTACCTGACCAAAAAAAGACAGTACATATAAACAACGGCTCAGATTAACCGTTAAAATTAACATTATACCTGGCCGCCATAGTTGAGTTGCTTGAGCTCTGTTCCTTCTCTGCTTCTACATTCCTGAGAATACAACAAACACCCAAAATGTAAACATTTTAGGAAAAAAAGTAGTGGAATTGTATGGCCTCTCTCTGTTTTTTTTCTCCTTCAATCTCTCTGTTAAGTTTGTGTGCTCCATTGATGAAGAGAAAGCAACTCCCCTTAGTTTTGTGAAAATGGGCATTAATGGAGTTGTATCAACAAGCAGAGAACCGAAATCTTGGTTTTACAGATTTTCATTAAAACACCATAGATTGTAGCTTTGTTTTCTAACAATCATGAGATTTTCAAACCAAAAAAAATCAAGTATGTCAAAAATATTTCAATTACAACCTCAAAAGAAGCTCATTGCATAACAGCTAACAAAATTTCAATTTTGGCAGAAGCTGGGAGAACAAAAAATACAAATACAAATCAGAGAAAGCTCTGTTTCTTCTAACCCAAAACGCACACAAAGCAAGCACAAGGACAGAGAAGTTGAGCAGCTAATTCTGTGTCTTGACAAGAGAGAAGCGCATATGCGTAAACATATACATTTTGTGCGTTTATATGTTTACCTGGTAAGAGCAGAGATCCCAACAACATCGTGTCTTGAAGTAGCCACTACACCAACGAACAACAATACAATCACAGCAGAAAACACACAAACCCATTTCTGAGGCACCGCCATTGTCATACTCTCTCTGCTTCTTTCTCTCTCTGCGTGGAAAGATTTGAGAATAGAGAGAAATAAAAGAAAACGTAAAGGGCAGGGAGAGAAAAAAGAACCTAAAGTATAGAGTCGGAGTTTAGAGCTCCAACATAACGGCCTTCTTATAGACCCACCCATGCAGTAACAAGAGTACCTTACAGCATAAAAGTCTCTAAACAGTACTTTTAACGCCGTTAACTAGCTAATATAACCCATGTAACGTTTTCCTTTTTCCTTTTTTTTTTTTTTTTTTTGCTTTGACGATTGACATTACCTGCTGGTTATTGGTTAGTTGTTAGGTTCCATTTAACCTAACCTAACCCAATATAACACCCTGCTCTTCCTCTTAACCACTGACCAGGTAACCCTTCTCCCACGTGCCATTCACACACATACACGAGAATTTGCCTCCTTTTTTATGTTTATATTTGTTCCAGCTTCGAGTCATATCAAAATCAAATGACTACTTCAAAAAAAAAAATGTAAGTGTTGTTATTTTTTTTTTGCATATGATAAAATATTTGAAATAAAAAATATAAGTGTTGTTATTTTTTAAAATGTAATAAAATATTTGAAATAAAAATTAAAAACTTGACAAACTTGACCATTATATGCTTTAATAAATAAAGAAAAATCAGTGTTACTTGTTCATCATAATTGGACAAGAGTTAACATTTTGTTTTGTTTAAATGACAATTGGGTTAAAAATAAATTAAAACTATTATAGTTTTAACCTTTATTTAACCCTGACTCAGATGTGAAACAATTAAATGGCAACAAAAATCTACGGAGTGAACTAAAAAAATAATAACATATTATATTAATTCTTCCTAACCTGTAAAATTGATCATCCAAGCAAAGAATACAGTCATAATGGGTTAATCTAGTTGGACAATATACTTCTTTATTTTTCCTTTTCTTATTTTTCTCTTAACTAAGCCATATCTCTACTAACCTTGGGTTTGATTAAATAACGGAGATGATTTTTAAGAAATAGATAAATATTGAGGATGAAATTACAAAAACATTAGTTTTAAAAAAAAAAAATTAAGGAAATGCAAATAAATCTCCTAGACTAAAGTTAAGCATTAAAGCTCACAACTTGTACAATCTTAAACTATAGCTCAATAAAAAAATTTAATCCTCAGCTAATAATGTTAGGGGATCAAATTATAAAAACAAACTCAGTAAAAAAAAAATTTAAGTAAAAGAAACTATAATAAAAAAAAAATGAGAACCGAAGCACATAGGAAAAAGATTTGGAGGATGACATAGCAAAAAAAACTTAAATTCTAAAAATCATCCATAGCAAAACCAATAATAATTAAAAAAAAATATATCAGATGAAAAAAATTAAAGGAGAATGAAACTTGATATAAATAAACATTAAAGAATAAAGCTCAAAAAATATTATTTAAAAAAAAAAACTAAACAAATCCATATGAATCTTTTAAACTTGAGTTAATCCCTTAAATTTGCAACTTGCAGAGTCCTGGATTTTAATTGAAAAAAAAATAATAAGGATTAGATTACATAGAAAAAAAATTCAAGGATGATGAAATCATAAAAAAAAATCAAATAAAAACATTATTCAAATCAAATAAATAACAATCAAAAGATCATGAACTAAATCTAATTGATAAAAAAAAATAAAGGAGAATGAAACTGAAAATAAATTATTTCAAATACAAAAAAATAATTAGAAAACACATGAATCAAATTTGAAGAAAAAAATATTAAATGAATGGTTTTAAATTTTAAAGAGATATGTGTGAATACCGAGGAAAACAAGAACGAAAAAGACTCAGTAAAACCAAACTAGAGCTAAGAACGCCACATGTATCGCTCGGATATTGTATTATTTTTAAATACAAGTATATTTTTAAAAAAAAATTATTACATTGTAACGACGTGTAATAAATTGAGATTATGTTTAGGAATATAATTGCAGTTGATTTTTGAAATATTTTTTACTTGGAAATATATTAAAATAATATTTTTTATTTTTTAAAAATAATTTTTAACATCATCGTATCAAAATAAACTAAAAATATCAAAAAAAAAATTAATTTAAAGTAAAAAAATATAATTTTTAAAAAATATTTTTAAAATAAAAAACCAAACAGGATACCGCAATGTTTTGACCTTCCAATTTAGTTGTTTTGATATTTACAAGGGGTATTTATGGGTTTTTCTCTCGGCATCTTGAAATTTATTGGTGTCATGTCGTCAACCTCTTTAACCAAAGAGAGTCTATAGTAAATTTCTAGGAAGGTAGAAACTCCATGGTTAATAGTAAATAAAAATTATTCACGTAAATCAAGTACTAGTTACTGAATTTATAGGAGTGTTTTTTGAGTAAAATTTTGATCGATAGAATGGGTGGAGCAATAAGGTGTGGGGGCAATTATTGTTCCTTCACACGTATTGTAGTTTCACTCGCAGTTCAATATATACCTTCACAGTTAATTAAATTTTTTTTGTTCTAAAACCTTTTTTAAAATTTTACCATTAAATTATCAAATTAAAGGCCAATTTCAGTTAATATTTTAAAAAGTAGTGAGATTAAAGGAGAGGGGACCAAGGTGAAAAACACAAAGGAGATAAATGGCTTTAACATAGTATGTGAGAAATGTACATTTTAATCCCAGTGCTCTCCCAATTATAATATATGGTCCCTTCAATTTTCAAAGATTAAGAACCAAGTCTATTTGGGTGCCAAACTTTATTTTCCTTTCTTTTCGGTCCTTTATTGGAAAGTGATTGACTTCCGGCAATAGAGAAAAAATAATCGTCATTCACATTGATCAACATCATAAAAAAAATTATTTTGATTTTACTAATTTCTTTTGATGATGAGAGTTTATCCTACATGTTTTTTTTTCTTGAACTTGTTTGGAAGATTTGAACACACAAATAATTTTTATTTTAGGTTGATTATGGGTTTTCAAGCACTTTTTTGTATTTTTTTTTCTAAGCAAGTGATATGTTTTATAAGGCGTTTAAAATGTTTTTTTTTGTTAAAATATGATTAAAAATAAGTTTGTTTGTGTTTAACAGTGTGGTAGCGGTTGCTTTTCAAATAACTTTTCATACCGAAATGTATGCTAATGATATTTTTTTATTTTTTTAAAATTATTTTTAACATCAGCACATCAAAACGATCCAAAATGTATAAACCATATTGAATTTTAACAAAAATAAAAAATAAAAAAATTTCAAATTTTTTAGGAACGCGGGTTGAACCGCGTTCCCAAACAACCCTGAAACATCATAACCTGATTTTTTACAACCATATTTTGCTAAAAATCAAGCTGGACAAGTGATGTGTCGCTTGCAAATTTTTTTTCAAAAATCCAAGGGGTGGACAACCTCGTTTGGCCCTTAAAAAAATGAAAAAATAAAGTTCGGGCACATGAGCTATTCTAAACCTGCCTTGAGCTTTTTTCATGAGGTTCATGAGCTTTAAGCCAACCAACCCCCTTACACTTGGTCCCTTTTCCCCAGATTTCACTCATCATAATTGGATTTTTTTATTACTTTTTTTTCTTTTAATTTCATCATTTGATATCTAGTTAATTATTAATTGAGTGATGTGATTTATTTTGATTTGATATTTTATCTAGTTATCTTGGTATTTGATTGGTTCTTAATTTTATAAATGTCTATTTTTTTATAAAGAAAAATTATTGAAAAAAAATTCTTTACCCTAATTAAGTCCATAATCCAAAAAATGAGTTTGATTGGTTAACCTTGGTTAGTTAAGAATTGAATTTCATGATTTTTTTATTGCATGAATAGTTATTGATTTATTTAATTAGATACACTCTTGATTTTTTTGTTTATGATTAAAATTTTTCTTATATCAAAAAACATGTAAAAAATACTGTTGAGTTGAGAAAAAAAATTATTCGTCCCGTGACGAAGCATGAATCAAATAGCTAGTAGAAAGTAAGGTAAGAGTTTTGATTTTTTTTTTCTATCTAGTTTGGTATATCTCATGAGCTTCATATTATTCAAAACAAAGATTTTAAAAAATTCATTGGTTTTTTTGGAAAAAAAAAGAAAAATAATGTGAATTTCATACTATTACTAAACAGCTTTGCCACCAAAGGTGAATTAAAAATCTAATTGAGAATTTATAATTAAAGATCTAGAAAAAATAAAACAATAACAAAAACAAGAATAATAACAGGCCGGGGATTAAATTGAGACTACCTTTAAAGGTGACTTCTATAAAATTTGTCCTAAAACAAATCATATCTTATGTCGATTCGAATGTGTAACATGGATTGAAATTCAATGAATTCTGGTTAGAATATGAGTTATTATCCCGTGAATTTCTTACCGAGAATGAGAATGTTTATTATTATTATTATTATTTCTCTTTCTATCTAATTAAAGAATTATATTTATTTACTATTTATTTTTTATTGCTCTTCAAAGTATTTTTAATTTAAAAAATATTAAATTAATAATTTTTAAGTGTTTTTAAATACTTTTAATGTGCTAGTATAAAAAATAAAAAATACATAAAAAATATTATTTTAATATATTTTTTATTGAAAAATACTTTTTAAAAATACAATACCAAATACAAAGGCATATCATAGGCAAGTTCACCGCAACATATTAATATCATAATTGCAAAATCAAGAAATTTGACTACGCTGTCTATACTCTAAAGAAAGAAAAAACAGAAGGAATTGAAATATAATTTGTAAAATATTTTCTATCAAAATAATATATAAAAAAACATTTTCAAGAGCTAAACAAAATTACTCCACCGTGTCTCTAATCTCCATTTTACACCATTAGAATAGCTTCCAAAGGCATTTTGAAAGTCTCTTCCAAGTTCCCACCTCCCTCCCTCCCTCCCTCCCTCCCATAACTAGTTACTTGCCGTGGGAAGCCATAACGATGACGATTTAGCAGTGGAGATGCCACATCAGCAAGGGCATTGACGGTGTCCGTACATGACAGGCAGATTGTCACGGTTTCCTGCTGATTTTGCGGTGGTTGGATAAAAGCAAAGTCAATTGCGTGTCTCCAAATAAAATTCCGAGGAAATGTGTCTTTATTTATTTATTT